GGGGGGGGGGGGGGGTTCTTAATTCAAAGAGAAAACGCGTCCAATTATCTTTAATTATCACAATTAAACTAAGGAGTGAACAATGAAAAGTAATGTACTTTTGTATCTAAGGGGGGTTGGGTCATCTTTGTTTCATTTTTACGAATATCCCTCGTCCCATCCTCTGGTAAAAAATATTGCAGTTTTTTAATATTACAAAAAAGGAGATGTACCAGATTTAGATTTCAATCCGAGTATCTGCGATCGTAGTGAATGTACTCAGTTTTGTGTGTATGTGTGTGGTGTAGAAGTGTGGGTGTGTCGTCACTCGTTATAAAATATGCGCGCGCGCGAGAATCTAGAATCGCTCGGGGGAAAAAAAAACTGTTTTCGCTCTGTGGCCACCTGGTAGCTGAACGTCAATCGATCGTGTCGTTCGCGTCGTTGCGGAATAAGAGGTGAATTGCCGGGGGTGATTAACAAACGTACGATACAACGATTCATTGTTGTTCCAGGGGGGGGGGTACAACACCGCGCGCCGGTGGCACCGTGGCAATTAAACTCGGTTGGTTGAACATAGAGCGGTGCGTAAACCGAGCGAGCCTGATCGCTCGAGCGCAACCGTCGCGCGATAACACCATTTCCGGCGCGCATCATTTCTATTGTTGAGCGGGGGACAGCCAGAGAGAAGCGAAGACGTGTTTGTTCATTACAAAAGAACGTACATTCACGTAAAATCAGCAGACGCGCGAAATGTTCTAGAGTTATTAATATTCGTTATTAGTTTACGAGTGAATTTCTTTTTTTTTCATCTCTATCCTTTGAACACAGTTTAGTGTGGCGTACAGCGTCACTGACAATTTTACCAAAATAGAAGACGACGATGGCTCTTACATAAAATGCTTTGTGTGCGTGTGTGTGTGTATATGTGTGTCAGATTTGAAAAAATCTATTCCTTTGCTTGCTTGCGGTTAAAGGTTTTTCCCTGGATATGCAAAGATTTTGGTGAAATTGTCGTTGAGCTACGATAAACGTGATATACAACTCTGGAGTGTGATTCATTTTTTTTACCTCGCGTTATTCTCGAGTTTCATTCATCGTTCAAGTTAACGCAGATTCCAAGTCCAATAAGAGTTAAGAACATCCATCAGCGATTCGGCATGCCATTGGAAATGCAACGCAATATACACACGTGTCTTCCTCTTCGTTCTTTAAACTCGGACAAATTCTCAAAGAACGCGTGAGTTATATATATTTTCCGGACTCTAACGCTTCATATGAAACTCGTGTCTCAGATATTAAAAAAAAAAAGTACATTTTTTTACAGACATATACATAAAGTTACGTAAACCAAACATCAACTGTGTTCCTCTAACGATATATCACGTTGATAAAAATTAATATTAGCCGTGTATACTCAACTTCGTGATAAATTTACGTACATGACAGAAAATATTCTGCAGTGAACTGCAATGTCGCTTTTCGCAAATTGCAATACTCAGCACAGTGCAGCATTTTTTTTTCCATCGCAAAATCAAGCATTTTTCACTGTGGCATGTGTCCTGATTCATCGTCGAAATAATTGTAACGTCGAGCATATCGTGTTCACATTCGATTTCACATCTTTTGCAAAGCTGCGACTGATACACATCATATCAAAACCATACACGTTTAAACACTTGAAAAAGGATGCGCATGTACCTCCCTTTTATTCTAATCATATATTGTGAAGAATATATTTATAGGATGCTTTTAAAGAGTGATATATTGAGTAGTCAAGACATATTTTTTTCTTTCTTTCTTATTTTTTGTTTTTTTTTTTGAAACGGAAATATGTATAATGAAGTCTCAATATTTTGTTTCAAATATTAAAACTTTGCATGTCATTTACACGTTTTACAGAGGAACGTGTTCATCTCTTGACCACACTTATCTGGAAATGTACTTTGCAATCACTCAATGTAATCTTAATAGTAATTTTCAAATTATGTCTGTTAAAAAAAAAACCTATAAATTAGAAATATACTAAGTTTTCTACTTATGTTACAGACGCAATACAATTTTCGATTGATGATGAGAAAAAAATGACGAATATCCGATGCATACCATATGTGTTAGCTGATTACAGTTGAAATTTTTCCTAATATAAATCGTTTCGGCTCACAATGAGGATTTATGAATTTTTGTCTCCCACATATTGGAGAGGGGAAATAATGCAATGAATGTAATGCGTGTGAGTAAAAATCTGACGTCACGCTGCATACTTCAGCATGATCGAGTAGCAATAATAACCGCGCGCATTCGCGAATATTTTAAAAATAGTTATTACAGTTTTAAGGCTTAACTTCTGTCCTATTACGATCAATATTGATTAAGTATCAAAAATAAATACAGGATTTCCGTAAAAAGAAACACAGCGACAATTTGAAGCAATTCACGTGTTAATGGCTTGTCTCAAAATACATAATTGGACAGACAGAATGTGCCTCAAAATTGCGACTGGTTGGTGATTGCAACTGGTAAAGTTTGCAATTCTTCATCACGGTTGCATTTCCATTGATAGGCCATTCAAAACAGATTCGCTACAATATACCGTTTGTTGCCAGGCGTAAAAACCTATACATTTATATCGATCGTGAATTAGTGACTTTTCCGTTTTCTCCGCTTTTCGAAAAAATCCTTCCATCTATTGGACGCAGCAGGAATTCTTCTGTCCGTTCTTGATCTTCAGTCGAGACTTGGGACGATACTTTTCGAGGAAAGTCAACTGCTTCGCGTTTATGGCGCCTCGTCTTTTCCTGGAAACAGAAGAGAGAGAGAGAGAGAGAGTCAGTTTGGTGACCGCCAAACCCATCAACTTCGAGAGAGTCCAATATGCGATGAGATACAGAAGTACTTACTCCCTGATAAGAGCAACAGCGTCTTCAAACTTAAGCCCGAGTTCAATGAGAGCTACCGCTACCAAAACTGGTGCTCTACCGAGACCCGCGACACAGTGTACCGCTACACATGCGTCAGGTGATTCTCGGAATCGATTCTTCAGCAATTCGAACCATTCATCCACCACCTGGAATTTTGATATCAACGATATGAAATGTCGATTGCTAGTCTCTCTCTCGACTTTATACGCGTTCGAGAATACATGCGGGACGTCTTACCTCGTTCGGTGGGAATGTACCATCGTCGAATACCAAATCTATCACATTGATCCCTTCTGACTTAAGTTCTTCGACTTTGTACGTTGGTTCGCAGACTCTTACCACTTCCTTTACATTGTGCATTTTCAGTTGCTGTTGAGGAGAGACATCGTGATATTATTATCTGTCAAACTATATATTCATATCTGCTCTAAGGTCACAAACCAGAACAAAAACTACCACCCAGTCACCGGAACAAGAAATGTAAGATAGTGATTGCTTCTTGGCAAGAAAAGGTGACCTTTCAGACGTTAAAAGTGACATCAAAAGTGACATTTTTTTGTCGGATTCTGAGAGCAGCAAAGGCCGTTTAAACAAAAAAGCGACGCTTACTCTTATTATCCCAGGTTTTCCTATTGAATAATTTAACATATAGCGAATTCTTTTCATAGCATTGTTTGAAAGTTCATAACAAGGAAAGACCAAGAGCATGAACGATATAAATATGTTTTCGGGGCAATTTTATTAAGTATTTTATATATATATAACATCCATATTTTACAACCAAATTTCACAACAGCTCGGGAAAGAAAGTGATTCATTTTGGACGATACTGAATTTTTTAGCGATTTGTCAAGAAAAAGTGACAAAAGATTGATTCGAGTGACTGAATGACAGCGCTGGGAAGATGGAATGGGTCTTTAAGAGCATAACCCGCAGCTGTTGTGACGACGTGGTATTTCTATATCTTCCTACGAAATGAAAAATATTACATCACTGCAACAGCCGCGATTAGACTCCCGAAGACCTGCTCTATTTTTCCTTGATTATAATTCGCATTAAAAATGAAAATGTGCCGGCGACATATCACGACATAGGCTTACGACTCAGTTTTCTTACTCACTTGAATAAAGGTATGGATGGTTTGATCATTCGGCCGATCGGTGATGAGGAACTTCATGTTTTTGTATGCAATTTCGGCGGGCGCCGGCCTGATATCCTTCACCCTCATGTTGCTCATTTCCTTCTTAACGGCAGATGGTTGTATAATCTATCTATCTCCCCTTATTGTGTTTTTAACTCTTAAAAGATCTTAGAACTTGTCTCTTCGAGTCTCGTACGTGTGCCACACTATACGAAGCGACAAAGGCTGGATTTGACAACTTAGCCCATTAAATGTCAGTCTTATAAAGTTGCTTCTCATTTAACTAATAAGAATATCCCTTATTTTTTTACAGAGGACAGAACCGTGGGTTTACATGTAGACGTCGAGAGAGGTTGTCGGGATGCGAATCTCGCCGAAAGGGTAAGGGCTACGTTACATTAGGCGGTGTTGATATGCGCTTTACTCTTCCCCACTTGAGAGACTTTCGACTATGACTCGGAAGATTATCTGAAAGCGAAAACAAACGAGTTATATTTTTGCGGGTAAGTTACGCACCGAGAAAGATATTCTTGCTCTCTCAACAATCGCGATAAATTGCACTTCGCAGGGTTGCCACAGGAAATGAATCTTGAGATTCTCTGACTTTTTCATGCTTTCCAGACGACAATGCGGAATTTTTCATGAGCAACAAGTAATTTTCAACTTTAACGTTTAGAAGCCGAGATCGCAAGAAAGGTAGGCTTGTATCATTGGAAGAGCAACAGAAACCCAAGAATTTCGTAACATAACACGATCCTTGAGTGCAAATTCAGGACAGCAAGAAATGAATGAGTATCGGAAGAGGGAATACAGCTGAGAGTATTCAGCCGAGGGAATTACGAGGCGAAGTTCCGAATTCCAGGTACTTCGCATCTTTCCCCGACATTTTCAATTTCCACGGACTTCACCCGGGTTTTCTGCGGCAACCCTGATCTCGATTTTCGAGCTTAGTCTCTCCACCAATGGAGGGACAAATAGGGAGCGCACACTCACCTATTTGGCACTGGGTGCTCCCGTGTGACAGGCGCGCTCAGTAACTACGATGCTTGCATCTACTAATGTAAATTAATAATTGGTTTCTATTAAAATTCTCCTACGTCTTGCGTCGATGACTAGTTGATGATTTCCTTTTTCCCGGACTCTCCCTGTGTGTCTATGTATGATGTGTGTGTATGTGTGTGTGCGTGTGTGTGGTGTATGATTTTTAATTCTCTACTCCAATGTCCACCTTTCTTCTCTCTCCGAGATGTGTCTATACCCTCTCCCTCGCTGCTCGCTTCAACAGTACCTAACAGTCCTCAGCGAGTACGGGCGTATCTCTCTATTTGTGTTGAGCCTGGCAGTATTCTGCGCTATCCAACTGAAACTCCATGTATGTGAGGATGCACTCACCAGGAAACTGCAACAGAAGACGATACACCGATGGCGATACGAATGATACATTCAGGACGGCGTCGTAAAATCCTCGCTCTCTCGAGATCGTTCTTTTTAGAGGCGCGCGCGCGTAACTGTATTCTTCTTCATTGTAGTATTCGCAATGCCTGACAATAGCGGACCCTCTCTCGAACGGTCGCAACGGTCACGGCGAGATAATAGTCGAAAGTCCTGCGTCCGATGCTAATTTCCGGTGCGTGACGCGCGTGTACACGCTTCTAAGAGTCAGCCAACATCTATCTGTCGGTCTGTCTCTATCTACCATCCTTCTTGTGTCAATCCGCATGCTTGAATTGGAAGAAGACACCACGGTACGTGCGTTTCGACGGACCAAAGCGACCTGCTCTCTCTCTCTTGTCGGCAGCGAGAGCAGTTACTTGCACGTGCGACAAACGTGTTACGAAATTTTTAAGTGAAGCTTCATATATATATACACACACACACACAACAAGGCATATGCTGTTATATCACAGGTCGCGGGATTTCCTAGCTATCGTCCCATGCCAAGCTCGCGAGAACGCGCGACGTAGTTGCAGCGGTTAACCGACGACGAGACGACTTCTCCCCCGATCTCATCTCTCATCGGCAGCGATTTGCGAAAGCTCCCCTTTGCGTAACCTTCGCCGTCGTCGATATGTAACGTACGACGTGTGCGCGCGCTTGATTGATGGGAAAAAGTACGACCGACTGACCGACCGACATTCGGCCGTATATACGTACCGGAATAACCGAAATAATTGGCAGGCGATGTAAAGCCACGAGATGAGCGGACTTTACGCTCCGTGAAACATCGCCAAGGTCGAATCCATCGTGACGACACGCCACGACGATGACGACGAGAACGTCGTCGTCGCTGTCGTGTCGTCGCTGCTTAGTTTGTATTTTATACTCCGTATTCAGAAGTTCGCGATTTCCAATTTTTGCGAACTTCAAGCAGCGTCCCCCCTCTCGCCCGCGCGGCTAATTGCACGATTCAAGTGACTTGTGCTAGCGAAAGACGAGGAGAACCGGCGACGTCCACGAGGACTCCTTGTCGGAACGTGTCCTGCGCGTGATAATTCACGAATACACGTGACACACGACGTACACTCGACGAAAATATTATGAATTTTCACTGAATTTTGGCCACGCCAGGTAACGAGATGTGGTCAGTCACGAAAAGGCTGTAACGTTTCTTTTCGAGTTCTTCGCATATCCAATCCAGGAAGATCCAGAGTCAAAGGTTTAGTTTCTACATTAAATCTTAAGTTGGTTCTACATTAATTCTTCATTAGGTCTTCTATTGTGCTTCTTTGACGCTATAAATGGAAAGTTATTTCTATTTTCTCCTTGAGGATTTAATGTAGAACTAAGCGGAGTTAAAATAAAAGTATGCTGAACTGATACATCTAACTGTGGACATTCTTGTTGTTTTGGTCTTTAAATATGAATATTCAAATTTGCAACACTGAATATATGCACATATATTAAATATATGCAAATATTTTACGTTTAAAGATTAAAAGTTTGTATTTAAATATCAAAACAAGAGGAATGTTCACAGATAGATATATATCCAGATATTGACCTTTTATTTTAATGTAAAACTAAACCCGGATCGAAATTTTAGTTCTACTTTAAGTCTAATTTAGTTCTACGTTAAGTCTTCCAAGGTCTTCTACTGCGCTCACTTTATGCTACAAATGAGGAAATTATTGCCGTTTTTCAACTTGAAGACTTAACGTAGAATTAAAATTGAAACTCTCTGGAAGTCTTAACTCCCATTTGTAGCATTAAAAGAGAACACTTACTGTGTGCCTTTGACGCTACAAATAGGAATTTATTTCCTCTCCCTTGAAGACTTAACGTAGAATTAAACATTTCAGCTGTAATACATTAAGTCTTCAAAGGTCTTCTATTGTGCTCCTTTGATACTACAAATAGCAAGATTATTGTCGTTTTCTCCACTTGAAGGCTTAATATACACAGAATCCAAAATTTTCCTCCGGGAGGTCGAAATTCTTACTCCCTATTAGTGCTCCTTTGATGCTGCAAATAGAAGGTTACTTCCATTTTCTCAACTTGAAAATTTCACGTAAGACTGAAATTTCGACTTGGGTTAGCAAAAGAAAGTGTTGTAACCTTTTCGTGGCTGATCATACCGGTACACGCGATCTCTTCGACGGGCGTCGGAAGTACCGGCTGAGGTGAGCGGGTGCGGACCGTGCAAGGACTACCGTTAGACATTCACGGAGGAGATCTTGGGGCGAAAAGTAAACTCAAGCCAACCTACAAACCTACTTAAGTCACGGCGCGTAAAGCAACACACGGACTCGCTGGGACATCGTTTACACGGAGTTGCATAGGAATCCCGTGTGCGCGCGCCTGCACACGAGATGCGTCTGATTTGAACTTTGCACCGCACCGACGAGCTTTCGAGAGCTCGCGTGTGCAAGTTGCATATATGTGCGGCGGCATACGTATATACACCGTGGACGTTTCCCTGGCGATGTTATTCGGATCCGTCGGAAACGTATGAAACAAGAGGCAGAAGCGCGCCGATCGGCCGATAATTACGAGCAAAAATTCGCGAACGCGCTTCTAACTTGGCCGAAGGAAGGAAAACGCGGACGAATGCATCGATGCGGGAAAGAACGAGATATGTATATGTGTGTGTGTATACTGCATTGCCAGTGGAATTCTTTCGCGTCGCGCGATTCATGCGGAAATCACCGCGCGTGCGTGTTTTACAAACAGTGCACAACCGCTGTCACAAACACACCTACACACACACACACAAGTGCATAAACACTGCCGGGCACGTAATATGTATGTACATACGACGTATGTACGACATCTACGTTGTGGAAACAAACGAACCGGTTAAGTTGTGTTCGTACGTGACGACGACGTGTGCGTTTCTTCCACTCGCTCGTCCGCTCGCTCGCTCGCTCGCGACTAGACCGATTCGCGACTTCGAAAGTGATCGCGACTAATACGAATATTTCGAGCTCGTGTCCATCATCGGCGGGAAAGCATCATCATCGGGGCTTGTCACAAGACCGATGCGCGTCGGCCCTCCTCGCGGTAAACAAAATTCTATTTGTAGAGTCGCGCGCGAGAACGTACCGCCGGACCGGCCGAAGCGAGGCGCGAAAAGCCAGCCGACCGGGATCGTTCGTGGCGATTCTATCGATAGAACGTGAGATATGTAGGGGGACGGGACGCTAAGGCGCGAGACAACAGAACGGAATGCTATAACGTGAGATAATGGGGCGGAAGTTTCCGCCCCGCGAGGAAGAATTTACATCGAACGGGAATTCAGGACCAGCCTGGACAGGCCGCGCGGTATATCGAGGCGAGATAATATTTATTATATAAAGTTGATTGTAACTTTAGCCCATTGTAATTATATATCAGCGGCTTTAGATTGATTTAATTATACCTATCTAAGAGAAATGTTATTTCACGAACATCAACGAACGTCAACGTAAAAGTTAGCGCAGTCCTCCTTGATACCTCGAGTCGAAATAACAATAACTCGAATAATAAGCTTCATGTGGGTTCTATCCGACCCATAGAAGCATTTTGTACTTTTTCTCAACTAAGTTTTTCAACCAGGCACTTTTATTCTCACAATAAGTCAGAGAATATTTAGGAGCAAATAAAATGTACCGCAAAATGAGTGCAATATCTGAAATATAATGCTTCACAAGCGCATTATTCGCGGAAGTATTAGAATATGGATCCGATCGAAGCCGACCAATCTGGTTATTCGAGGGTCTATGTTCTTGTCTACAACTTTGCATTAAGACGTAAGCCAATTGATCAACCACGGTCGATTATTCTTCTAACAAGCGATTGTGATTGGTCAATTTGCTTATTGCTACGTTTTAAAGCAAGGTTGTAGACAAAGGCTATTTAGTTCTACATTAAGTCTCCAAAGGTCTTCCATTGTGCTCCCTTTGATGCTACAAATGAGAAGTTATTTCCGTTTCCTCCACTCTTGAAGGCTTAATGCAAAATTTAAAATTTTTCTCGGAAGGTCTAAATTCTCTTTGTAGCATTAAAGGAGTATTATTAGTGTTCTTTTGATGCTAGAAATAGGAAGTTATTTCAATGTTCTCTACTTGAAGATTTAATGTAGAATTAAAATTTCGATTCCGGGCATCCCACTACTATATTTCTTTTCCTGATGTATGCATAAACCTACTTAATAATGAAAATGTGATTGTTAATGTAATTATAATTTTTAAATTTCGGAAAAATCGTCTTGTCCCCATTTTTCCGCGGATACTTGCTTTCTTTACGGAGAAAAAGTAAATTTCGCAGGTTTTAACCAAACACGCATGAATATTTCTGAACGAATTTCTTCAGGACAGAAATCGAAATAATCCGCGGAAAATGGGGGAAAAACCGATTGTTTTTCCCAAAACTTTAAAACTAGAAATATAATTGTAAATAAATGTTATAAAAAGAAACGTCTTTCTTTTTTCATTGCAATAAGTAATGTTCATCTTAAAAATTGATGTTATTTCCAAATGAGCAAATTCGGAAGAGATTAATCAAGAAGTATGTTTCTTGAAAAATTCATCTTTAACGTCACGTCTTTTTACGGTTGAATATTATTGAATCGAATGATTATCCATGTAATAAAATGCACTCGCGAATTACTCGCCCGATTCGTCGGTGTGCAATTAACGAGGAGCATGCCACATACCGTGGGTGAATGAGACGAGACAAGAGAAATCGTGGGTCAGGAGTCAGGACGGATATATATATATATATCCGGTTGCGAGCGACGTAAGAATCTATTTGCCTCCGTTAAAACTCGTTCGCCGAAAGAAACTTTTTTTCTCACTTCATTCGGCGTTTTTCTTCGCGGCGGCTCGCTCGATGATGTTCGCGCGACTCGCTGAGACACGGTGAAACGACGACGGCGATGAGATGCAGGATGCTAACTCTCGGAAAAACGGCATCGGTAGCGAGCTGCGATTTACGCGTCTCGCGGGCGTAGAGCAAGCATTGCATAATTCGCGGACGACATCGACGAATTTACGACTCACGCGCGCGATACGCGTCTACGTTGTCGAGAAAAACGAAAGTCGTAAATCGCTCCGACGAAAGTAAAATACAAGGCTAATCGCCGTTCCTACCGGTTTTACAGGGAAAGCGCCGCGCAAACAGATAATTCTGCCAAGTGGAAAATCGGGGACGCGCGAGAGATTTTTAATATCCTGTTACNGGGGGGGGGGGGGAAAAAAAAAAAAGAGAGAAAAAAGTCAAGCTGAAAAATCTATGGGCGCAGAATGATGATATCAGCAGAAACAGACGCGAAAGACGTCAACAGAAATTCCTCTTCGGATCTGCTCCCGCCGTGTTATTGCTCGGGAAATTTCTGCCTTGCACTAAGACGCGCGATGTCGAGCGAGTTGATTTGCTTAATTCACGTGCACGTCACGATTTTGCCGAGCGTACGTTAGATCGCAAGTGGGATGACAGTGCTGCCATCCAATCACCGGAACAAGAAAGAGCGAAATAGTGACTGCTTCTTGGCAGGGAAGATAACAAAAAGTGACCTCTCGGCTATCAAAATAATGACGACCAAAAGTGACATTTTTTGTCGTCAAATCCTGAGAGCAACTAAGGCCACTTAGAGAAGCAACGTTCTTATCTCCCCGGGCTTATCTTTGGATAATTCAACATACAGCGAGTTCTTTTCATAGTATGGTTTGAAAGTTTACAAACGGTTTACAACAAGGAAAGACCAAAGGAATAAACGATACAAGTGCGCGTTTGGGACAGTTTTATTAAGAGAAACGGCTAAAATAAACGGAAGAATCAATTGGTATTAAATCAATGATAGATGTTCTCATATATGAGCAAGAATATTATAATCTTCTTAGGAGATTTTTAGTCCCGAATTCATTGAACTTGTATTGATGCAAGTATTACTTGCGGTCAATTCAATACTAAAAATTCCCTAAGAATATTACAATGTTCTTGCTCATGTATGAGAATATCTATCACTGATTTAAGACTATTTGTGTATGCGTGTGTAGAATGTCTATCGTTTACAAATTTAACGGCAGCCCAGGAAAAAATGGGCGACCACGATATCTATTTAGGACAATAGAAAATTTTTAGCGACTTGCCAAGAAAAAAGGTGACTCGAGCGCAACTGGATAGCAGCGTTGGGATAGTCGGTCTCAAGCGGCGAAATACAAACGCGCGCCCGCGAGGCGATATTTATTTTGAGACTCTCAAAGTTTCCGTTTATATGAAAGCCAGCTGTGTATCCAACACTTCTGTACACGTTGGTGTAGCACGAGCCGCTCTCTCGCGGGCGAAACTCGGTCCTTTCCGACTTTACCTCACGGTCATCCGCCGGGAGATCCGCGGAGTCCGAGGTCACGGGGAGCCCCAAGTAATTAAAATTCAATTACTCTCTCTCTCTCTCTCTCTTTCTCAGTTTCTCCCTCTTTTATGCCGCCGGCAGCGTGTTCAGTTCACGAAACCAATGTCGCGTGTCGGAATCGCTAGCAACGTGAGACGCCGCAAGACCGCCGCACCACCGGAGATAGTCAGAAAGTCACATCTTAATCTTTTCGCGCGCGCGCGTGCACTTCCGCGAGAGCCGCAAGTTCGGTACTCTCAGCGCGCCAAGAGCTCACATCTTTGTGTCCAAATTAGGCTGGATCTACAATAGGTGTAGCAAGCTTTTAGCCTTTTGCCCTGAACACTGAATTCTAACGTAATTTCTAGCGAAAAGCGTCTCCAGTGTTACCACGCGGGAAAGAAGTAGCTTCCACAAGTAAAAACCATAGCTCCCACACAGGTGGAAATGTCCGTGTAATTTACAACTGAAATTTACTTGATTTCGCTAATTCTCTTTGTCCCTGTATCTAGTATTTTAGCGCTCACAGCTGGTAATTAGATTTCAGTTGTATTACATGGACAGCTGATTCCTTTTTCTCATGTAGATGTCGCAAATCCTGAGAATTTTAAGCGTTATTGTGCCTTTGGCGAAGCGCGAAACACCTTTTATCAGATATTACGTTATATTTCATTGCTCAAAGCTCAGTTACACTAAACTCCGTTTAAGTTAAACGACAATTGACCTACAGGTTCGCCCAATTGAAATTTCTGTCGCAGAAGAGATTGAGAAAGATAAAAAGTTCAGAGTTTCCAGTTACGATCCTGTAAATTAATCGTGCAATTGGTGCAACCGGGCCTTAAACGAAATCCGAGTCGGTATTTTAATCTTAGTTTAAGTCTAATTCAGTTCTACCATCATGTGTTCAAAAGCTTTCCATCGTGTTCTTTTGGTGTTAAATGGGAAAGTTATCGTCATTTTCCCCATCTGAAGGCTTGATGTAGAACTAAACTTTGAATTCCGGAGAACTAAATTCCCTTTGTAATATTAAAAGAACACTTATTGCGTCCCATTGATGCTACCAAGTGTGAACTTATTTCCTTGTCCTCCGCTTGAAGACTTAAAGTAGAATTAAAAATTTCGACTCGGGAAGGCTGGAGGCTTACTACACTTATCGCAGACCCGGTTTTGCCGGAGTCTTCTGCCGCACTCGACAGCTTCACCGGGCGGACAACGATCGCGCTCGGCCAACTCGGCACGTCGAGATCTATCGGGACCCGACACACCCGAACAACGTCCCGGCAGATTCCTCCCCCTCGGCCGAGGAACGTGAACCGCGAGCTGGACAACTCACATCCTCCGTGACTCGCCGGAAACCCGACCGCGACCCGTCGCGTCTTATTGTCGCAGCTGTTCGGCGGCGGCGGAGTCGCGAACCGGAGCAGCCGTGGGGGCCCAGCGAGAGCGCAAGGCTGTGTGATATCGTGAACCACTCGGCGTGGCGGTCGTGTCGAATCTGGGCCAGCCACGACGTGCTGATCAAAATAGCACGGCGTCGAGACAGCTTCCCACCCGTCCTCCCCCTCGTCTCTCTCTTCCCCCCCCCCTGACCGCCATCGCTTCACTTCACCGAGTCGAGAGCTCGCTCGTCATCTGATCCCCCTACACGCACGCACGCCACACGCAATGTCCATTTCAACCTTCCCCCTTTCCCTCTACCCTCCCTCCCCCCGGACTCTAGCTTCTGCGTCGGGTCTTCACGACAACAGCGGTGACGCTCGCCGCCTTCGCGGTTGGTGGTACGTGCGCCCGATGAGAACTACTCCTCCCGCTGTCAGGTAAGTAACGCCGACCGGTAAAAAGGGAGACGGACGGAGAAAAATCGGTACGCTGGTACCCTCTTTCTCGCAGGTGAATTCCTGCACCTGGCCAAGAGGAAGGGTCGTTGCCCGTATCTTCGTCCAGGAGCCGCGTGTCTCAAGAGGGTACCAGTCGCCGTCGTCCTGTATGTACTGTGACATTCCTTAGACGGAAAATTGCACGATTTTCAACCTTAGCTGAATCGACATTTTAAATTCTACAGTAAGTTTTCAAATGGAGAAAACGGAAATAAGTTTTCCCACTCGTGACATCAAAGTAGCACGATAAGTATTCCTTTGAGGTTATCAAAGGAATTTGACCCGTCAGAGTCTAAATTTTAGTTCTACATTAAGTCTTTAAGTGGAAAAAACAGCAATAAATTTCCCATTCGTAGTATCAAAAGAGCACGATGGAAGACCTTGGAACACTTAATAAATTAGACATAAACTAGAACTAAAATTTCGACTCGGGCATACATAACCTGTACACTGAGAAATTAATGATTGCATCTACTTGATAATAGACAAGCGCGTTCTGATTGGAGAAAACCAAATTTCTATTAATCATGAACCTAAATTTGGTCCTTATCAGAAATTTCATTTCCTTCAACCAAAGTTTGAACTTATTTCCTTGTCACGGGAGATTCACATGGATTGCTACATAAAATCTGAGTTTTTGGCGCAATTTCCAGGGATAATCACGAGATTCCAACTGTTTTTTTTTTCCAACAGAGCCAACTAAACTCATTGCTCAGGTAAGGTTAGAAATCGCATAAGTAACTAATTATAACGATCACACTCTAATTATAAGTCACAATAGCTTTAATTATAACAGTTTCGACTTATTCTTGCATGTACGTGTGTAAGGTAAAAAGTCGGGTAATTTATTATCTAGAGCATGATAAAGCATACACAATCACCCGTACAATATCTGGCATAATAGCTTTAACATTAATTAAGCCTAGTGACTGTCAAATTTTTTATTCATGCGCAATGAATTTACATATTCGTGCATCATGATTTCGAGCAAGCGGTAATATTGCCTCGATATAGTTTAGACAGTTTTCGATGTATAAAAAAAAATATCGTGGTCACTAGATTTAATAAATACTAAAGCTATCATATCGGATACTGAACACAGATTTCTACATATCGCTAGACCACTAATTGCCATATATACTACATCAAAAAATGGACTCTGAAAAATATGTATTGCATACTACGTGAAATAGAATAGAAGAGGAATGGTGGATAAATGCAATATGGTCGATGCAACCAATCAGGCGTGAATGTCATACTACTTGTACGATGATTCCGTTATACATATTTCTCGGTGGCATTTATTTCGTAGAAGTTAGCAGTCTGGTAGTACATAGAAGTCTGTGTTATTGAACCGCAAATTCCATTAATGCTGTCCCATTTCTTGGATATAGTGATGTCGGAAATTTCCAATCAGACGAATTATTCTCGTGTATTCTTGCGTCATAACTGTTGATTATTCGGTGAATCAACAACGATGCGTCAAAGCGGCAGTCATGACGCACAAATATTCAAAAATAGCGCGTCTCATTGAAATTTTTAATGTCATTATGCCTAGGCAATGAGACTGCATTAATGGAGTTTTCCGTGAGTGGGCGCGCGTTGGTGCACCACGTACTACGTGTTTCAATCGTATTTCCTTTCCTACTCGGCATTATCGCAAATCGGATCACGGAAAATTCGCCACGACACTCGCTCGCGAGGGTTGACGTAGCTTTATCAACTTCGCGCTTCGATAGCGCCAATCGTTATCTCGCACGCTGGGCAACATCATAAATGAACATGATGTTGAATTTCTCTCACCTGTAGACAGGTTTCTAATAAAATAGAAGTAAATTGCCGCTAGTTGACAAATAACCGAGAATTAATTAGGAGGATCATGGATTTCCACTAGTTCTTATCTGTGATTAGATAATTAATTAATGCCTTGACGCGGCGCCGGTCTGTCGGTCAAGTCGCACGTGTCGCTCAACGTAATCACACGTTACTGCTGCAATACCTATAGCTCTCTTGCGAACAGGCGAGACGGATTAGTAATCTCCTTTCGAGATCGCACATAATTGCACGCTATTGCATGGGATTGCATAAGATTGCATGGGTCCTATTCCGCGCGTGGCTGTGCGCAGGCCCGATAAGTCGCTACCGATGTCCGCCGAGGGCGTCTTTAAGGCCATTCCATAATGCCTGTGAGAATATGACCGTACACTAAGAATAAGTACTTAAAAATTTATTTGTGAGATATCAGATTTATTTCGCAAAAATTAAGGTTTATTTTCCGCGAGATAAGGTTTATTTCGGTGAAATAAACCTTATGCCCCACAAATAAATTTTTAAGCACCCCTTTCCTAGTATAAAGGCCATGGTAGACGGAAAAACGCAAGAAGCAAGACTTCGTCGGTAACACAATTGATTCTCCTTACGGTCGAAGAATAATCGACTGTTACTGCTCAATATGCTTATTGCTTGCGTCTTACGCTTTTCTGTGTGCCATGATATTTAAGGGCTTCCTATAAGCCGTTAGTCACAACGCATAAGAGAATCTAGCAATTGGAATCTTTTATTTCTATTCCTAGAATAATCTGATTGGCTATGTCTTATCCGTTATGCGTTATGACTAAAGGCTTATTGTAGAAAGCTCTTAAATAATCAATCATTTTTTATCTTTTGTATACAGAGTGGGACATTTAAATTGAGACACCTTAATATAACAAAAATAAAGTAAAATAGAAAGAAATGTTTCAAACAAAATTTGTAAGGTTTGGAGGGAGACACATTTTGATGACTTTAAACTTCGTTGTACAGTCCTATAATTTAAGCTCATTGTAAGGTCAACTTCATTATTTTCAATGGAATTGTATAATTTCTTTTTAGTACAAATCGATTTCTCTGTTCATTCTGCGTAGAAAAATACTAGAATGAAATCATGAATAATTTTCGAGATATTTTACTTTTTATTCTGACATTTCTCAATATAAGATATAAAATATCTTATAAAGTATTCACTTTTCGATAATATTACATTAACTCTTTCCCGTCGAAATCCGGGATATTCCCGGCAAGGTGCCCATATGCTTACAACTATTGCGGCCGGAAAGAATTGATACTTTTCTATATAATAATATATTAACAGCTATTTCCTTTTCTCATGTTTTGTATATCTATGAGATTATTATTATNTAGCTTTTTACGCGTGATTTTCACTAGGTTGTAGCTGGTTTCGGTAAATATGCGAAAAATGTTCAGTATTATAAGAATAACATTTTTGTTAGAAATTATTTATTTTTTGAAGGAGTATTACAAATATATGAGTTCCAAATAATTATTTATAAGTTTTTAATATATGATATTTTTTGAAACAATTTCCAACATGAAGGAATGGTTTTCTGTTGCACGTTTCACAGAAGTATACTGTTGTTTTTCTTCCTCCAGGCAACTTACGATTAGAACATACTAAACAGTCATTATGTTTTCCTTTAGCATCAAGTTGGAAGATATGTAGTTTTTCATTTAATCTCTCCACATTGTCTGTTGTTGATGGCGTTCCATATCGCGCAGTTTTCTTTATTCATCTTTGGGCTCAATATATTAACTCTTTGCGCTCGAGAGGTGCCTCTCAGGCACCATTGGATATGATGCGACAACTCGAGCGGTACCTCTCAGGCACCACTCGGATCGGGGCGGCAAAACGAGCGATAACGGTGTTTATTTAGATTTGGCCTAACGAATATCGCTTCACGAATTTACGCCTAGCCCTTTGTGTGTAATCTTATGAGGTAATGGCTACAGAGATGTCTTATCTCAAAAACGCTCGCGAACGCGTTTAACAAATGTCTTTCTTTGAACTGTGAAGATATGTAAAATGTTAAAATATACAAGTTTAAAGTGTTATATTGTGTCAGAAATCATTTTAAGTTAACTGTAAAAAAAACTCATGAAATAAGCGGGAGCAGCCAACTCCTCTCGAGTTGCTGGTTCGCTCGAGTGCAAAGGGTTAAAATATTGAGTACAAAAGGCAGTGATATATCACTGGAGATGTCAATTGCTTCGTTGCTTATGCTTAACTGACAAGGCAATCGTACCCGCATTTGACAGAGAGCGAATTTCGACAGGTTCCGACTTGTCACCTCCTACGTGACGTACGACCGCAGCGACGAAGTATTGTTGTCACGTGAGAGGTGACTTACGACCGATAAGGGTTAAGTCTGTAAGACGCAGTTGTAAGGGCTTGTGCCGGTGCAATAGTGCAATAATGCAAGTTCGCGGGAGAAACAAATTATCCTCATTTCGCATATTCGTACGAACCTTGCAGAACGGCCTTTATGAATCCGATTATCATCCGCCACCCACCTTTCACGCATTTCATTAGTGGCGCGATCATTCTGCCACGGGAAACGACGACGGTGGAAACGCCGATCGGCCGATCGGTAGGACCCGACTTTCACGGTCATTCTTGTCGCGCGACGGAGAGAAAACGGAAACGCTTTGATGACGTCAAAAGCCGCTCGACCGGATAAATTACTGGGTCACTTACGCAGTGGCGTATGTGCAATCGCACGATTCGTTCCCCCTCCCTCGTCGTCGCCGCGGCACTTTCTCGGCGCAATTTCGACGCAGCCCGCTTTCGGGGGAATCGGAGGATCAACAACAGGAGGGAGGGGGAGTTCGCGACACGATGAGTTATCTCGCGACCGCGTCACCGCTAACAACGTCGTCAACATCGCGGGGTCGCGCGCACTCCACGTGCATCGCCGGATAACGTCCTGGTACCGTTCGAGGCCGGCGGTGTCCTTCGAGCACGAAACCCTTTCCGCGAAGCATAACGGAAATGATTAAGTGCACGACAAGCGGCGGCTCGCCGCGCGAACGTTACTACTTTTTCACGGATATCGCGGGCACGTGTCTCGCGAGGTAGCATGTACACACCGTCGGATCTCATCCTTCGAGGCTGAGGGAAATCGAAGAGGGGCGGGGGGGAAGGAGAAGGTAAAGAGAATAAGGAGGGAAAAGCAAAATATACACACAGAACGAGAAACAACAGACACGCTCGCACACGTGGTGGCGACGCGCGGCCGAAAGCTTCCCGGTATTTCGCAAATGTACCAGTTAAGTCACCGGAAATCAATAACGAGCGGCTGGCCCGAAGTAGGAGGCGTTATGACGTCGCACCGTGATGTCATACCGCCG